TAGGATTAAGAGGAGTGCATGATTCCCATGGTGCACCTGAGATGTGACATGTTAAGATTTAGTCATCTGAGACTCAGAGTTGGCTGCCATAGCAACATTATTACAAAGTGTTCATTGTGTGCAGGGGCACAGAGGATCACCCTGACCATTTCACACTGAGAGTGTCACTGTATGTGTGTGCAGGTGCTGATGAAGACGAATGCCTCGGCAATTTAAGTGTTAAAAATAAAGCTGGAACACGCTTTACAGTGATTCGCCTGGATGGGTAAAGATCTATATAATTCTAGGTCCGTAAGTGTGCATGATTTTTCGTTTCAGTGACCTAGAAACAAAAAGCTAGAGAGACAGTACTCTAATGAATATGATTACAGAAACAAATGTAAGATGCATTGGGTATTTTTGCCCAAAACCCTGTTGAAAGAAAAATTGTATTGCAGGTTACCAGCATATGATGTGTAGGATGGTGGCTGGAGTCCACAGCAGCTTTCTTAAAAAGCTTAAAGTGATAGTTCACCCAAAAATACACACCCTCATGTCATTCAAAATATGTCTTCTGGATTGCAGTGAAAAACAAAAGACTATAGTATTTTGAGAAATGTCTCAGTGTTTTGTTCCCCTATACAATGGTAGTCAAAGGTAACCAAAGCAGTTTGGTTGCCAAAATTCTTTAAAGGGTAACTAAACTCCTGGTCAGACTCCACCCACGTGCAATATTTGAAAAATGCTGAAAAAGTGGGCAGACCCCAGCGGAGATAGAGGGGACGAAATAGATGCTAAAACACTCTATCCTGATCGTTTTCAATACTCGCAATTCCAACTCCTGACTCGCTACAGTGGTTTTGACGAAACAAGCTGGTTTTTATACTGCCGCTCGTACCAAGAGCGTGTTGAGCTGAAACCTGCGTACGTCACGAATTTTCCTATTTCCCATCCAATAGGAAAATTCAACCGCATTAGCCACCGTTCAACCTGAAGAGGGCAGCACTAAGACGTTTTTACACCATATATTGTGGAAATAAAACACTTTATACACAAATGTCAAAAAAGATACTCGAATCAATGACTGGTATTAATAAAGATCTATTCTTACAGATCATTAACTAAAAAAAAGTTGGTTTAGGGTTTAGTTACTCTTTAAAAGGATACTCCACCGTTTTTTTTTTCATATTAAACTGTCATCCCCTTAACTACGACTAGTTGATGCATACCTCACTTGTCTCAGTGCGTGCACTAAATCACAGTCTTGTGGCGAAATTTTAATAGCTCTTAGCTTAGCCCAGTTCATCCAATAGGATCCAAGTAGAGTAGCGACCAACAGTGTTGGGAGTAACGCATTACAAAAGTAATACATTACTGTAACATATTACTTTTTGCTGTAACGCAGTAGTGTAAGGCATTACTAATCAATTTTCAGTAATATTTTACTCGTTACATGTTCAGTGAGGCTTGTATTACAGTTGTATTACAGTGTAATGTCTGCTTTTACTTCTTAAAGGCAACAGACTATGTGAAAGTTTTAAAGCAGTCTTTTAGTGCCAGTTCAGAGCGGTCGCATCTGTAACATTGTTTTTTCCTCATAAATGCGAACACGAAAACTAAAATAAAATGAATATTTTAAGTTCTATGGAGACTGGAGAGCCAAACCTTCCTCATCCGATTTGCGCAGTGTAATTAACAGAATTACAAAAAAATTATTTTTTGCCTCCTATTTTTTTGTCACGCATGAATGTGTGTCTTTTCCCTAATATTGAAAAATAAAACATAGACTGATATTTGTCTAATGTCTGGAGTCCTTTAAGGAAGTAGCCTATATACGTTTCAATACATGAATTTTCTGAGAATTTTTATTTCAAGTTTTGACTGCAAATGTCATGTCCATAATGCTGGACTTCCCCAATTTTAAATAATTTATCCTCAACTAGTTTTGTGGTGTAGGTCTACGTATTTTATAATGTTAACTTCAAATAATACTAATAGCCTAATTTAAAGATAAGGCAGCATTGGATCTGGACGGTAAGGAGAATAACGCTGGGAGTTGGAAGAGGTGTGTCGCGATTCTGTAGGTTCGTGGATCTGAGTCGTGTGGCGAATCGCGATTTCGGTTTCATATTGCATTTCGTTACAGCCCAAAAGTTAAGTTCTACTTAGTTATTTTGGTGAAAGTAACTCAAAAGTAATACATGAGTAATGTAACGCATTACAATTCTGGGACAGTAATATTGTAAGGTAATGAATTACTTTTAAATAACAGTAACAAGTAATACCTAATGTATTACAGTTTGGAAGTAACTTGCACAACACTGGCGACCAAACACGTCCAAGTTTTCCCTATTTAAATACAGTTACACGACCAAGAATGGTGACACAAAATAAAACGTTCTGGCACAGCTGTCGATTTTTAACTTAAAAAAATGGTACAAATGTTAGGTAAACTCTACTAAATATGTGCTCTGCTCTATTCACCACAACCAGCTTCATCATCATGGTTGACCAGTAGTCCCTTTTGTCTCTATGTAGGTTCACCACCAGCATGGAAATTCATAAGCTAGTCTTTTCAACAGGGAACACCTTATTAATAACAAGCTTGATAATAAGTTGCATTGGCCACTATCAGTGCTTATTCATTCTATCGTTTACACAACGCAACTTCAATCTTCAATCATGCTCTACCTCACAAAAACAGACTCACGACTTACTTTTACCTGTCAAACACGTGAACGATGAAAGAATTGTACTGTAAGTGTCAATATTATGAAATACATGAATGTCACGTTGCTGGAAATCTATCTCAAACTTTGGACTGTGGTAGCCGTTCATGTAACAGCTTAAGGGGGGCAAGCTGCTCACGTGCTTGATTTGAATCTCTTCATCTCTCCTCCCTTTCATCAGTACTTCACTGTCTTGATAGCACCTAATACATGTGCTTTTCATAACCCACTTACTATACCTCATTTCTCCCTAAATCATCTGCTCTTGTTCTGTCTCTATTCTCGTCTCTGGCTGCCCTACATCCTGCAAGCACTCTTAGCTAATTGTACTATCATTTGTCAAATTTGAATTATTCAAGCATTATTGAAAGCGCAGGGTCAAGATGATTTTTCAAGCTGTCTGGTTGTGCTACTTTCTGTCGGCTGCTGTACTTGTCAGGCTAAATTTCATTTTCTCTCTGCAGTGTGTTCTCTTCCTCAGCTGTATCAGTATGAGTTACAGAAAGGTAAAGGTAGTTCATGTGGCCCATGCTCAGATGAAATTAAAACAGGCTAATTTTGATTGTTTAGAAAATCACATGTAGTGGCAGCTTTAGCGGTGTCTTGAGCATCTGTGTGATGTACAACTGTGACTCAGTTCCTGTCCTGATGTGGTTTAAGGGGTACACCATGTTTTAACAGAGACATCTAATTCTGTTACTCAAAAATAACACAGTTGCCAAGGCTCTCTCATCAGCTTTTGACTTGCCCTTTATTACCTTCCTTTTTCTTGCTGCTGCTTTCTCGTAATCATCATTTGATTCTGTAGTGAAGTTAATTTAACATATCTCTACTGTACAGTAAAGCTAACTTTTTGAAGAAGTTGTTCATACTTATAATTCTATCTATATTTGAAAAGTAATAGTGTCTACTTCAATAATTATGATAAAAAAATACATAATTTAAAAAGTTTCACTAAAATGAATCCGACATCTCTACACGTTTAATATGAACTGAGTCACTCAAATGAATCAGTTTAACTCTTTCCCGACCACTGTTTTTTAAAGTTGCCAGCCAACGGCATATATCACATTAGTCAAATGATTAATCACGATTAATTGCATCCAAAATAAAAGTTTGTGTTTACATAATATATGTGGGTGTACTGTGTATAATTATTTTGTATATATACAGGTGAAAATTAGCATTTATGCTATAACCTGGCTCATTTACAGTCTTTACAGAAATGTTAGTCTGTCCATTAATGTGCACTGTCCCGATTAAATAAATAAATTAAAAAAAAAAAAAAAAAAATATATATATATATATATATATATATATATACATACATACACACACATGCATATATTTAGGAAAAAAAATATTTATGTATAAAATATTTATATATAATATACATTATATATAAATCTATATACAGTATATTTATGAAAATATTTCCTAAATCTATACAAGCATGTGTGCATTTATATATATAAAATAATTATACACAGTGCACCCATATATATTATGTAAACACAAACGTTTATATAACTTTTTATATATATATAAAATCATTTTCACAATTAACAAAAAAATTCTAACTTCATTGAATCTTTTTTTCTAATCAACACTTGTTTGTGTGTAAGTTTAATAATAATAATAAAATTAACATTTTGAACAAAAATCTGATAAAAATCTAATTTTTTATCAAATATGTCCAGATGGAGTACATTGAGTCCAAACACCCCCAAAGCTTACAGTTCTATCTCTTCTTGTGTCAACATTTCATTCATTACCACTAAACAGTTTGATGATCACCTTATTTTTACATGCACATAAGCAATGTTTCTATCTCTTGTTTCTGCTTCTTCTTTGTCTGCATTTTGACCCAGAGATTCTGTTCTCTTTAAGAAGATGCGTAATAGGCCCCTGTACCGTATAACAGTAAAAACTTGGATTGCTGAAAAATTCTGTCAATGGCAGGGAAGGGTTATATCATACAGTAAATGATGGAAAATTCTGTCAATGACGGGAAAAGAGTTATGAACAGATTCAGAATGAATCAGAACATCCCTATGCTTTAGGATGAAACCGATTCACAAGAATGATTCAGCCAAAACAGTACCCGTTGGTCTGGAAAAAAAAAAAATGGTGAGTATTTTGGATAGTTAAATTAATGTAATTTAGGAAGGACCCAGAGGGGCAAAAAAAGTCCCGTCAGTCTTTAAAAACTGTAAACCACCAGTAATTGACTATGCAAGCAACCTAATATTTTAATGAATATTATATTTATTTATATATATAAAATGGCAAAACTAAATTCTGGTAGCCTACAAGGTCAGGCATTTTCAATTGAACACTGACCTCATAAAAAACTCTTTGAAATTACTCCCAGGAAACACTGTGCATTAATAGTTAAGATATCGATTATTCTGTGGCGTCACATCCAGTGACGTTAATGTATAGTCTCAGTCCACGAAGTTGTGTTTGTAAGGGTTTCACACACACCACAGGTTAACACAACTCTGTTAGTCACCTACGCACAGCGCACTTCCGGCGACACACACGTGCAAACCCCCATTCAGAGAGTGACCTTGGCAGTCCAGACAGAAACACACACATCTCAGGCATCTCATTGACGTCAGTGCCACCCTTATGCTGAAAAGAAGAAGAGAGTTACTAAATGCCAGTTGGTTATATTCTATTGGATGATTCATAAAGTGCCTAGTTTTTGTGTGGAAATGTGTTTCCCAGCTCATTTGACATTAAATGGTGAATCAAAGTAGTACTAAACCTGCTTAGTGTACAAAAAGTGAATGACTTTGAGAAGAATCAAGTCAAAATTTAACATATTTGATACAAGTATAAAACATTCAAATACTGACCTGTATGGACAGCTTGCGCTCTGAATGTTTGTATTGCAATGGCATATCTGTCTGCATGAGTCTCTGTATGAATGAACACTATGTGCTAGAGAGAGTTTACGTTTCACCAACAGTTTTTGTCTGTCTAGTCCACATGTGTAGAAGCCGTTATGTGTGCAGCAGTCTTAGACGTACGGTAAATTATATTGTCTGGTCTGAATGCTTACATAAACTAGATTTTGATTCATCCTTAACATCTGCTGAGTCTCCTCCATTGGCACAGACATGCTCCTCAACATCTGAGAGTGCCGGCTGGGCTTCAGCAGTGTCTATCTTCATACAATAAAGGTCATAGAGTTCAAATGAAGGATTTTACCTTCTTCATAAGAAGATTCAGTCTTAATACTGTGTACAAATCGATTTTGGTTGTTAGGTTCATGCTGAGCTGTTGTTTGATTTAGTGTTGTTTCTAAAGAACTGCAGTGAAGATATTCAGGACAGCCAGATAGATTGTTTGACTTCAGTCTATATGAAGAGTTCAGATGCAAAAGCCTCTAAATGCCATTTGAAATTTTCTTCTAAAATGACCATTTTTATCAAGCTTGTATATTTAAGTTCAGTAATTTCACTTAAATGACACTTAATAGGTAATCTTCATTGCCATTTAAGTGAAATTACTGAACTTAAATATACAAGCTTGATAAAAATGGTCATTCTAGAAGAAAATTTCAAATGGCACTTAGAGGCTTTTGCATCTGAACTCTTCATATACAATTCAATGAACAATGACGAGGATTATGTGCTTGAAGAAACTACTTGTTTACTCACGTAACTTCAGTTTACAGGAACGAAGTATTGCCTAGCTATACGCAGTGGGAAAACTTATTTTTCTCGATTTACTGAAAACTATTTGTAAAATGCATTTGCATTTGCAGCTGCACAGCTCGCACACTGAGCGTCTAGCTCGCTCATAGGCTGTGCTGCAGCAACTGCACATCCAATGGCGTGGGACGCCTTTGACATGCGACCAATGAGACCACTCTATGTCATTACACGTCAGAGCCCGTCAAGGGGGTGAGGCCTCAGCCTATATTAGTCCCCGAATTCACCATCATAGCACATTTATACGACTGAAGCGACAAATATCCAGTTAAAACAATGTGGAAGGCTACGCAATACTTCGTTCCCTAACTCAGGGAACTGAGAGATATTTCTTATTATTATCGATTGCTTACTCTTTTTTTGTATACACTTTTTTTCTAGGATTTTTTGATGAATGGAAAGTTCCATTAAATAAAAATCTGTAATTATCGATATAATTTCCTTTACTTTTGACTAGTTTAATCAATGGATGCTTGCTGAATGAAAATGAAAAAAATCTCTCCGACCCAAACTTCTAAACTGTAATGCATGAATAAAAGTTTTTGCTCAGAAATTGTCTGAAAATTTCACACTCAGACAGCCACACAGACACAGACATGCTGTGAAAAAAATCAAGTGTCACCCCATCCTCCCAAGTTCAGGCTCATTATGCTTGCTGAGTGAGACTCAACTGAAGGTTAATTTTGCCTCATCACCAGTGCTGTACATTCACAACTTTGCAGAAACGGTTGTTTCCCATCATGACTTGAGACCAGACTTCCCATCCCATCATGTCTTGGTCAGACCACCTGCATTTCTGGACCTACCACCCACTGCATGGCCCCTCCTCTTCTTTCACTGCCATTACGAGGGAAACTTTTTTTGTTCCACATTCGCCCCAAAGTCACTTTTCTTACCTTATGTTTCTTTATTTAAAGTAAAATCTTCTCTGAGGTGCGTCACCACATCCCACTGTGTCTGCCTTCAGTCCCGGCCACCCACATAGAAACTGCACTGCACACAGAATTAGACACAATTCATCGTAGAGTGCTCGGCAAGTGCAAATGACCAGAGGAGAGATGTGGAAAAAAAAAACACTCATTGGGATTTAATTTGCCTCAATATCTGAGGAGAAAACACAAAGACCCATGGGGAGCAGCTGGGATGTGCACTGCAGTTCAGCAAAATGAAGAAGACAGACTGACTAATGGAAACCCTCCGACACTAAATGTGCCGTCAGGCGCTTTATGTGGCTGTAGGTCTCTCTGTTATAACAGCCGATTCTATGTGAATGAAGATATTTGAATCATGAATTTCACAGCTGCAAAAACTATAATTAGAATAAAGAGAAACTATTTTGCTTCTGATGATCTAATTGGTTGGACAGACTCTCAATAAACCACACACACACTCACAAGGTTTCACTATCTTTGTGGGGACTCTCAATAGGCGTAAAGATTTCAACTGTAGTTTCTATTCCCAAACCCAACACCTACACATCACAGAAAACTTTCTGCATTTTTACATTTTAAAAAAATAAAATAAATCAATCCATTTTCCTATGGCTGGCTGGTCCCTACAATAGGTGATCTCAAGTATACTATCCTTGTGGGGACATTTGGTCCCCACAATATAATATAAACATGCACGTACACACACACACATACACACACTTCCCTGTTTGACCTCAGTCTATGAACCTTTCAATAGTAATTCAGAATAAAGATACACAATACATTTAGTTCTTCATGTATGTTCCATCTGGAAAAGTTCATTTTGTACCCAACAAAAATAAATAAATAAATAAATAAAACAAGAACAACCCATGTTTCAGAGGTGACTCAGTTCACTGCACTTTTTGACAGTTCACATCGGTTTAATAAAAAGGACAATTCAAAGGATGTCAATCCTCGGAAACCTTGTCCATTTGCCATTCACAAATTAATCATACATGATCACAGCAGACATTTCAACGTTTTCTTTTTTTTTTTATCATCTAAACACACTGTGCCGAGGCCGATTTGTGTCTGACAGTGAGAGGAGGACTCCTGAGTCTTTGCGGTGTCTCTGCACAGTCTTTCTTTGACAAATGGGCTTCCTCTAGACACTCTCTCATGCAAACAGCAGACAGTAATGAGTATTATGCTCATGTACTCCGACACACAACCACACAAACCACACATACACACTCACAAGTCAAAGCCAGTCACAACAATGCATGGAAAAAAACGTAATACACAGACATAACATGTGATGAGTTACACCTAGTCTGTTGTTACACCTATCTGTTAGCAACGCCACAAGTTGATGTGCCGCAGACCGCGCATTTCAATTATCATGGTCAATTGTTTTGTGAATATAGACATTTAAAAACCATGGTCAAGGTTTATCAAATAGCCATAACTACCATCACTATTAGACTAAAGAAAAACAATTTTGCTTGTTATTTAGTTTTAGCCAAAAGTTAAATATTTACTTCCATATTCTTGGAAACAATTTAGATTTAGATTATTAAAAAGCAAGCAAATAGCTGATTGTCGTTTCATCACTCAAATGGTATGTATCATTGATTCTGTGCAATAACAACAAATAATATACAAATAGGAATTATAATTAAGATTAAAAAGGTATTATGTGAACTATAGACCTATTGACGTACTACATTAAAGGGATACTCCACTTTTTTGTTGGAAATAGGCTCATTTTACAACTCCCCCAGAGTTAAACAGTTGGCTTTTACCATTTTTTAATGTATTCAGCCGATTTGTTTATATTTAGAAGAATATCAGTGACCAGCCAGTTTCTGGTCTCATTGACTTCCATAGTATATTTTTTTCCTATACTATGGAAGTCAATGAGACCAGAAAATGTCTGGTTACTGATATTCTTCTAAATATCAGAAAATCGGCTGATTGGATTTGAAAACGGTAAAACTCTACAAGATTATCTCTGGGGAAATTGTGAAATTAGCCTATTTCCAAAAAAAGTGGAGTATCCATTTAACATAACATAAACATTGACAAGCAGTAGCTATATATGTCACAAAATCTTGGTATTAGTATTAGTACCATGTCTAAAACATATAGGCTAAAACTTTATGCTTTTTAATTCGTAACTATTTCAAGTTTTGGTGAATTAGTGGCGAATTAGTTCATATTTGTATGTTTTCGTATGATCCGCTTCTGCACCACTATAAGGGTTGGGTTTGAGGGTAGACCTCGGTGCTTAGTTTTTTTTTCTAAAAGGCAAACATTTTTGAGTAAATCAATTCGAAATCACCAACATAAACAGTTAGTATACTCGTGAGACCAAGTTGGTTTGACATCACATCGTATTATGCATTAGTTAGGAAGTTATACAATTATGTTATAGATGTTGTTATACATTATAGGTTCATATTTATATTAGTGTATTTTTAATGCTTCCTATATTAGGACTCACTTACTCTTCAACATTGCTCCATCCTTAAAGCGCCCTCCCCTCATCTCGCTCATTCCCTCTTGTTTATAACTCCCCTCATGTTCCTCTCAATCTCATTTTTAACCCACAACCCTCTACTTTTAAATCTTCTTGCTCTGTCCCATCTCTCTCAGTCTCTGTCTCTCTGAAGCCGGAGCAGTAAAAGCTGGCTAGACGATCAACTCCTGAGGGCTGAAGCAAATGACAAGGGTGTCTGACACAGACCATCACTCAAATACGAGTCTCACAAACCAAGCAGGCTGTTTCATGCATGGGTGAGTCTCAAGATGTGTAGCATCTTATCCATCCTTCTCATTTACAAAGAGAAGCAAACAATAAAAAAATAATAATTAAAGAAATACAAAAAGTATGACTCGAGAGTGTGCGTGTATAAGATCACGTGTGAATGTTAAGCCCAATGGCACAATATGTTGTCTCTGATCATATCTTAATGTGAGTCATACAGATAACCTTTGACCGATCCTCACAACACTATCATGAATTATCAAAACAGAGCTCTCAGGCTGAAAGTGCTTGATGCATATCATGATTTTTTAGCACAAAATGCCTTAGAGAGAAAAATATCTTTTTGTTACAAACAAATTACAGTCATTATGAGAAAATCAGTCTTTTAAGTCATATATTTTCAATGTATCGGTTGATCTGGTTCACAAAACAAGCCTGGACAATTTGTTTATGAATAAGCCTAGGTGACAGCTCATAAATAAGTGAAATTAATAAAAAAACAACAACATCCATTTCTTTTAGTTTCTTTCAGAAGGAATGGAATATAATGCATGAGTTGCATGGACCACTTTTATGATGCCTTTATACCATTTATTGAAGCTCAAAAGCTTTAGTCCCCGTTCATAAAATAAAAGTGTGCAGCATATCACTACACAGGATTGTCATTTTTGAGTGAACTAAATATGCATTGGTTAAAAACAGAAACTTCTCTTCGCTTTATGTTTTTGGGTATATACACTACCTTTAAAAAGGGTTTGGGGTCAGTATTAAGCAAAGATGCATTACAATTGACAGTACAAATCTTTGTAATGTTACAAATCCTTTCTATTTTAAATAAAGGCTGTTCTTTTGAAATGTATATCCATCAAATAATATTGAAGAAAAAATGAATCGCAGTTTACACAACTGTTTTCAGCATTAATAATGATAATGTTTCCAGGAGACCAGCTCAGCATTTTATAATTATTTCTGAAAAGATCATGTGACAGAAAGAGTAACGTTGCAAAACAATTCAGCCGTTATATTGAAATAGTTATATTAAATTGTATTCATATTTTACAATATTGTTGTTTCATGCACCTTTGGTAAGCAAAAGAGACTTTTCTCAAAAACCAAAGAATTTATAGATGGTTATCGATATAATCTTTTTTGCAGGCATTTCAGTCAAGCAGTCTCTGCTCATTTGTGAATGTGTCTGATTGAGAAGTGAATCATTACAAACGATTCATGATCTCCCATGGCTATAGAGCAAATAAAGGGAACGGCAAGACTAAGTTTCTGCTCGTGCATGCATGCATGTATATACTGTTCAAGAGGTCATTAAGAAAAGGTAAACAAATGTGTAAACAAGAGTAGTAGAGAATACTAACAAGTGTGTTTGATTATACTTCTTGTTTATTCTGGCTTAATGCTATATACTGTAAAAAAAATATTGTTGGTTTAACTTAAAAAATTAAGTTGGTTGCCTTAAAGTCCCTGTGAAATCAAAATTGAACCTATTTACTTTGTTAGCGCATATTACTAGTCTTGTGGTGAACAATTAATCCGTGCAAGTGAATATATATTAAAAAAATGTTTTACCTTAGTAATCTTTAATCAAAATCTGAAAAGTTACTTCCGGTCTGGAACGGTTTCTTTTTCTGATGACGTAGGTTTCACAGTTTGGGTGGGGAAACGCTTAACCACTCCCCTCAAACCGTTAGTTTGCTATGAGCGAGAGATGGAGAGGAGGCGCGCTAGAGTAAAACCTTGCCCTCTGTTCAATATTCCATTTTACTTGGAAATACGTCACAGCACTGGAGAAAAATCGTTTGCAACTTCCGGTTCACGGGGACTTTAAAATTTTAAGTTGATTGAAATGGAAATTGATTTAATCATCAGAAACTCAAAAGAATAAGTTATCTGAACTAAATAAATTATTTAAGTTGATTTGACAAAAGAAAAAAAATGTTTTGATAACGAATCTTGAAAATATTGTTTTTACAGTGAAATACTTAATGCAGAATTTCCACTGAGCAATTGTAAATCTTTCTAGAATTTTCCAGTAATGAGTCTCCTAAGGGATGAGTGTGTAATTCCCATGCAGAAGCAAATATATTTTTATTTTTTTTTACAAAAAAAAAAGGTCTTCAATTTTTTTAGGGAGATCCGTTTCATTCACCAGTCTGTCACATGTTGCGGCAAAATCTCATAGTGAAAGTAAACAATCCCAGTGTTTAACATTTCAGTCTCTCCTCCCCACAATACATATTGTGTTAAATGTTGTTCCTTTTAATATGTGGATAACAATCTTAGAGGATTAGTTCTACCAAAACTGAAAATTCGGTCATCATTTACTCATTCTTATATCATTCCGAACCTGTATGGCTTCAAGTCTTCTGTGGAACACACAATAAGATATTATGAAGACTGTGCTGTTCGCTCTTTTCCCATGCAGATACAATAAATAGGGACCGGAACTTTCAAAAAAAGGAAAAGAAATAATAAAAATACAGTCTATTTTTTGCCTTCTCCTTCTTAAAACAAATATATTTTAATGCATAAAGAAAGATATCTAGTTCTGTGAAGGTAGTTAGATGTTATTTATACTTAGTGCAAATAAGTTGTATTCAGTGAATTGTACATAATAAAAGAATGCAAAAACATATTATATGATTATATGTAATAAAATCATTAAATGATTGCCATCCTTTTGGAACAATGAAGTCCTCCCTATACCCCCCTGACAAACAGTTTTAATAAACACCCATAGGCACTTTATTTCCACTTTTCAAATATTTTATTTATATATTTTTTTGAACAAATAAATGCATTTTTTTTTTCAATCACCACCTCTTCGGAGGACAACTTTATTTTTTATACAGGAAACAAATGCTATTCCAATTTGATTTGCGATGGGAAAAGGGAGAAGTTCGGAAAAATGAAGGATTCGTACACGGGTCGATCGTATCAAAAGTCACCGCCACCCGCCTTATTCTCCCCGCCACTGCCTCTGTTATTAGCCAGGGTTTTTGAGATTTTGTCTAGCCCAACCAGATATTAGAGTTATAGCCTTTGCGAACAAGGCGGCTATTTGCAGGCTATAGTTTATTTTATTTTTACACAGTTGATATTGTGCTATATTCCAGGTCCTCTGAACTGAAATAATATGTTACCTTTGCGTGAGGAATGGTCTTTGTATGGTGCTTGTAAATCTTTTTTTTAAAGCTAGAGGCTCCATGCTCTGTTTATTGCAACTTCATGAAAAAAAGAGTGACCAGCACATTCTTCATAATTTCTCTTTTGTATTTTAAGAAAGTCATACAGGTTTGGAACGAGTAAGCGATGACATCATTTTCCATTTAAATGCAGTCTCAAAAAGATCAAACAAAACCAACCTAACAATGCATCTTACAAAGTTTGCCACACTTTGGGGCAGATGCTATTACAGTTAGTGCTATTACCCCAATCCATCTTACGCTTCAGCTCTGGTCAGGTATGTGAGTGCAGTACTGCCCCGCTGAGCTCTCAGGACACAATACTGTACAAGCCTGGGGCACATTCCTCAATGTGCGTGTGTGTGTGTGTGTTTTGTGGCCCATTGTGATTCAGCAACCAACACGAGCACCCCCAGCCACCCCACTTTTCTCTCCTCAAATCCTCAGCCCGCTGCAGTGTGTTGACATGCAGACAAATGCAAATAGAGTAAACATGTTTGAGTGTTTACATCTCAATGAGAAAAAACAATCTCTCATCCTTTGTCAGAACAGAGGGGTGAAAAAGAAGCAGGCGAAAGAATTTCCAATAGCTGTTGAGATGCTAACGGTCCTGTGAGTGAGATAAACAGCGCGGAAGAATAGAGTTATCAGTGGATCTTAGCATTCACATAGGAAGTTTTGTGGGAAAAGTAATTCAGTAGCATGACAAAATGTTTGTTCTGACACTGATCCCTTATCAAGAACAAAAACAACAAAAACAACAGCATCTGCAGCTCTATACACACTGCACCTCTGATGAGCTTAAAGCTAATTGTCAATGGAATGATATGTGAAGGTACAATGTGAAAAACCATTGGCATAATATTTCAAACTTTTTTATAGATATTTTCAAATGAAATTAAAATAAAACTAAAATATAGTTAGCTGAAATAGCTAAATACGGTCGGGCACCCTAACAGATAAAAAAAATTAATACAAAAACTGCTGGACGCTTAGTTAGTGGAAACTCAGACACAGTTTAAGATCTATTAACTGAATTCCTTCACATTTCAAAGTGCTGTTGGATTCTGTTGACAAGCACGTTAAAATGAACCAATGCCATTAATGTACTTATGGTCTATTACTCAATACTTGATAGTATCTTTTGTGAACAGATTGGACCCCCTCAGAGAGGTCAGCCTATCAGACGGAGAGGAGCCCTCTCCGTGGATCCCAATGAAAAGGTTTGAGATCCTTTGAGCATATTGACAGGCCTCTGCTGGGCAGCAAAGTTTGTAGCGTATGCTATGTTCAGATTCTTTGATTGATCATTTAATCCCCAAATCAGACACAAATTCCATCATTCCGACATGACTTCAACACACCAATAGAACAGAATTAAAATGAAATTTAAACACTGATTAATTTAAAAGAGATAGTTTACCCTAAAAAGTTCATAAATTGTAATTGAATAGATAAATCTATCTATCTATCTATCTATCTATCTATCTATCTATCTATCTATCTATCTATCTATCTATCTATCTATCTATCTATCTATCTATCTATCTATCTATCTATCTATCTATCTATCTATCCATCCATCCATCCATCCATCCATCCATCCATCCATCCATCCATCCATCCATCCATCCATCCATCCATCCATCCATCCATCCATCCATCCATCCATCCATCCATCTTTCTAACTAATCTTTCTTTCCTTTTAACTATTCTATTTTCCTTTATTCCTATTCTTTCATTTAACTTAAGAATTCTTTCTTTTTTTCTTTCTTTCTTTTTCATGTTTCTTTCTAACTTTTCTTTCTTTCTAACTAATCCATCTTTCTTTCTTTCTTTCTTTCTTTCTTTCTTTCTTTCTTTCTTTCTTTCTTTCTTTTTAACTTTTCTTTTCAAACTAATCTTTCTTTATTTCTAACTACTCTTTCTTTCTTTTTTCCAAACAATTTTTTTTCTTTCTAACTAATCTTTCATTATTTCAAACTGATCTTTTTTCTTTCTTTTTTCCTAACATTTCCTTCTTTCTGTCTTTCTTTCTTTCTAGCTATTCTTTCTTTTACTTTTCTTTTTTCTTTTTTACTTTTCTTTCTGTTTTCAAACTAATCTTTCATTATTTATAACTAATCTATCTTTCTTTCTTTCTAACTAATCTTCCATTCTTTCTTTCTAACTAATCTATCATTCTTTCTTTGTAACTAATACATCTATGTATCTATCTCCAATCTCTCTTTCTTTCTAAGTAATATTGAAGATCCATCCAACCATCCATGGTCATGTTAAAACATGCTAAATCATGCTATGTGGTAAACCACACCAGGTAAATCATGTTACACCATGCTAGAACAGTTTAAAACTTTTTCAAACTTTCTGACTAGGCTTTTCCAAGCCAACTTAAAGTTTGTCTATACCAACTTTACCATCTAGTTTTTATTATTATCAATAAAACAGTTGTGCTCCTTAATGTTTATGCGAAAATAATACAGTAACTTTCGATCCATTTAATGCCTTTTGCCCCAAAATTTTAACGGCAATGTATGTTATTAGAAATTTATATTTTTTTATTTAAAATGTATGTCACTTTAGATGTCTGTCGCCAGTGAGGTAAAAAGGACTTCACATTGCTTCATGGATTAGGTGCTTGAATAAGACAGTGGCATACATCTTGATTTATCTATTAAAGCAGACACACATCAAGTGGTAATTATGTTAATGTGAGGGAGAGTGTGCACACACATCAGCAGCATTAGAGGCAGACAGGCCCATAATTCATCTAAATCAGCCCATTCTATGTTCTGATGAGAACCCAGAATCCTTTCAACACTTAACCTACATATTGCGAAAACTCTCTAACACTGTACCATTCACTTCACATTCTATACTGCATCTCTAATACCTGTCCGCTCAGACCTCCCCTGCCTCACTGACTGCCCCCCTATAGGGAGGCTGTATTACACTGACCCGGCCGCCCTGTTGTTACCCCTGTGTGAGTGACACCCCCCTGGCTCATCTCTTTTCAACCAGGCCTCTCCTGATGTGGATTCTTCATGTCAAGTGTCTGCTGGTTCAATTATAAACCTGCCCATTACAAATACACAAAGATACTGAAAATGAATATTACAGATATTAAATATCACAATCCCCATGAACTTCACAAATGGTTGCACACATTCATGCCCACCTCACACTACAGTAGGTGACAATTAGATGAAAGACCAGATTGGACGTGTCCTCAACAACACGTTAATAACTTAACATTGCGCTCTGTCCTCACCTCTGACAAGTGTATTGACGCTTCCTGTTGTGGAGCACCTGGGCCTTTTGTTATCAGACAACATATATAACAGTTAACACAGGCTTATTAGCGTTGACAGCCAGTGGAGAACTGGTGCTAGCATTAGCATTATATACAAGACACTATCAGTAAACAAGAGTGGGAAATTTTTCACAGATGTGAGAGGAAGCTTCTGTAAATCTGTTAAAATTAACATGTCTGCATGATCTGTAGTCACTAATCTAGGTTAAAAAAAAATAATAAAAAAACAACTTCATTTAAACAAACAAACAACAACAGTTAACAGTTTAAACTATAAGAATATTTCACAACATTACTGTTTTTACTGTATTTCTGATCAAATAAATTCAGCATTGGTGAGCACGAGACATATTTCAAAACATTTAAAATTCTCTCATAATATTATATAATAATATATATCGTTGTTAAGATGAATTCATACCTTAAATATAATCTGTCTCTTCTCCCCTTCACTGTATTTCATCCTTCTTTCTCAGAGTCTTTCTCGTGACACCTAGGCAAAGGCCAAAATATCATTAGTGCTTATGTTGACAGAAAAAACATACATAATACAGTTCCAGTTTCCTTTCATACTCATTAAACACACACCAGAGGCCTTAGAAAACATCCACTCATTTAGGTGGCTCTGATGTGGTGAACAAAGCCGTGAAAGGTGTTTTTTGAGCATTTGGGTGTTAACGTTCCATAGCTTGCAATGGCCTGTCGAATGTCGGTGAATCAGCACCATCAGTTTCATATTTCAGCAAATGCCTACTGTCATCATTCCTCTTATCATATTCATACCAGCTAATCACGCAGGGCCCACCGCCAGCATACCTGCAGACTAACGCATGAGTGTGGACAAAAGACGGATGGGGGGATTTGAGAAACTTATCAGATGCAAAACAGGCCATAAAGATGTGAATTCTGTCATCATTTCCTCAGCCTCATGTCCTTCAACACCTGTATGACTTATTTTCTTGTGTGCAAGTCAAAATAAGATATTTATAGCAAATGCTGGGAAAGTGAATGGAGGCCACAGCTGTCAAGCTAGATTTTCAAGGCAAGATTGGTGAACAACAACAACAATTCCTCAATCATGACTTCATAGACTTGGACAAAATAGTACATGCAGTTTAAACTACTTTTATGATGCTTGTAAGTTGCTTTTGTGTCACTTTAGGAGCTTGACACCATTTTGGATTACATGTAAAAGAACAGCATGAATATTCTTCAAAAAGTCTCATTTTACATTCAGAAGAAACAATGTCACACAGGCTTGGAACAGCGTTCCAATATTAGCTCTGTTTTAGTCATTTTAATCATTCAAGATTTTACAAAGGCAACATTTCTAAGTTTTTCGTCTAATATTTATACTTTATTTAATTCCAGCTTTCTTTGAATTACTGAAAAGATTTTTACTAGTAGTTTTAGTCAATAACAAGTTAACACAGGTTCGTGTTGTTACATGAGGGTGAGTAAATGATGAAATATATTTCATTTGTATGCAAACTATTCCTTTAAATTTGTTTTCTCTGTTAACAATACACATACAATCAAGAAGATTTAGTAGTACAGAGACACAAATATTCATTATGAGATGCAGATGAGTGCATGTTCAAAAACAAGGTTAGACTTTGATCTTCTGAACCTGATGTGACAAAAACCTCAAAACGCCTCAGTACAATCACATTAAACATGCAACGAACGCTGCAAGATCAAACATTAGGAAGACATCAGAGGGAAAAGCACTTAGGCAATGTGTTAATTACTCTCATACAGTCTGACATTAACATTTCATGAGAATAGAACTGATATTTGCTCATACACACTAGCAATGATAATTGTCTGTATGTACAATCAGAGTGGGGTTAGCATTCTGTATGTGCAAGGTGTTGGGGGAAGGGTCAATGGCTTCTTTGAGATGTCAGCATCCCCCAATGACACACACTACCCCCGACTACTGCTGAGGGACCAAGACAAGTCAGAACATGCTGAAGAGACCAAAGCACACCCACACACTCTGTGATGCACTTACTGTCTACACACTTGCCATCGAAACAACACGCGATGTAGAGTTCCTAGATTACAGGAATAGTTCTATGGAACACAATGTATTGAGTTTTTTTTTTTTGCCTATGCAATGAGGTACAATGCTGTTTTAGACCCTGTGGACTTTCATTGTGTGGACGAAAACAGTCTTTTAAAATATCTTCTTTTACTATTCCACAGAAGAAAGAGAGTCATACAATTTTAGAATTGGTGAATAAATGTTCATTTTAGGTGAGGTACTCCTGGTGTTTGTCATCAATTGAACATAATGGAGAGTGCACTAAACAGAACTGTTCAGCCCTGACATCAAACTTGGAAGGATAATTCGCTTTGGGTTCCCTCAGGAATCTCTATTGCTTTATTGGTGGTTGTAGTTCTTACGCAACAAAAGCTAGATTTGAGGTAAGACGGGCACTGCTAATTATGTTGTAGAACAAAATGTGAAAGTCTGTTAAAGTAGAGTTAACTACAGACCTTATTTTACTCGTAAATCTAAATACACTATTCCAAAAAAATCAGTCTAAATTCCAGAGGGAACCCCAGGCTCAGAAGTGCTAATACTCCTACTGGTTGCAGGACTCCAAGCTGAACAGGACCATTCAATATGTGAGAGATAAATGGTCTCTGTTCTCTTGCACTTGAGCTTCAAGATGAAGACAAAAAAACACTCCCCCGACTAAAGCAATCAATCACAGATCTTTTGGCTGTACACTGAGTCTCATAACTGCCTGTCATGTAAACACATTGAATATGACAAACATTTTGACTTGTGATACGTTTAAATACGTACGGCCACAACGTTTAATGGCCAATCAAGAGAAAGCTAAGACAATAAGCTCTGATTCATCATAGAAATATGCCGTTTTGCCAAATACACAGATTTAGGAAAATACAGATGGTGAGAACATAAAAATGAAAGCAATATACAATACAATAATACAATAAACACTATTATGAATATACATTTTTGTATGAGAAATAAAGTAATAAAATGACCACTTATTTCCATGAGCGCAGGCAGACAGAAAAATACTATCAAGGTATGAGCTCTGTCTGTTACTGAAAGAGGACATCTGTTTTTTAAACCCTTTTAGAAATCAACCAAAGCTTGAGAAGCATAATCAGTGCAGAAATGTTTTATTAATTTATTTCATTTTATTTTTTCCTGACGCTGCTTTCACTGTGTATCATGCTATCAATATTGCATGCAATTACAATATCACTTTGACATATATTATATATTTTTTGAGAGAGAGAGAGAGAGAGAGAGAGAGAGAGAGAGAGAGAGAGAGAGAGAGAGAGAGAGAGAGAGTCATTCATTTACAGTTCCTGGGACGAATCTATGGGGATACATCAATAGCTTATTCTGCTAGGCGAAATAAAAACAACACACTTTGCAAGTGACACGTTAGGAGATCATTGAATCAAGATAACATTCTCATTACACACGTTTGAAGAGTTACATTTACAACTGACTCATATCAGCAATCTCAGGACTAAACCCCATTCAAAACCTCCAGGTTTAATCATATCTACAGGCTATGTTGCTAGTTTTTTAAAACAACATCTAATTTTCCACCTCAGCAGCGTCTCTTAGTGCAGGTTTTGCCTCCAGGTTTAATCATATTTTTGTAAAACAACATCTAATTTTCCTCCTCAGCACCGCTGAAACGACTGTCAGTTTACAAGGGTGGTATTTCTCTTTTTTTCAGTTATAAACTGCTCGCGCATACACGTGAAGGAGTGGGCGGGGTGAGGGAATGTACCGTTGTCTGCAGTAGCCAATCAGAGCCGAGTGCATCTGTGGCTGTATAAATGAACCCAAGCTCCAGTCTTGGCTCAACAAACGAAGTTGCAGTATTGATGCGATCAGCTAGAAGGAGTTTGGAAAAATCCACCGACTTTATCATTGAAAGACAACTTGAATGCCGTAGACTTCAATCCTGACATTACTTTTACGGTGTCTGTGGATTTTTCGTCGTAGTTTGCCATCGTAAGCGTTGGAGAGTGTCATTCTTTTGTCAAAATGCGTCTCATCCAGAACATGTCCACCATCGCGGAGTACCCAAGCGCCGAGTGCCCGTCCAACCGGGTCATAAAGATCGCAGTGATCGGCGGAAGTGGGGTTGGCAAAACCGGTATGTTTGTGAAACAGTTTTGCAGAATTTTAAAGCTCAGACTATTGCTTATAATAATGTAATATTTGAAAAACGAATTTACTGTAGATTTGTGTCTTATACGATATTCATGTCAATTGCTTGCCTTTTCCTGTGCAGCGCTGGTGGTTCGTTTCCTCACTAAGCGGTTCATTGGTGACTACGAGAGAAACGTTGGTAAGTTCATCTTTAACTGATCTACACCGTTTACACTCATTCGTGATATTGTCAAATCATATATTAATCTGCGTTTTTGTATCACAGGCAACCTGTACTCAAGGGAAGTGCAGATAGACGGAGAACAACTGGCCATTCAAGTTCAAGACACACCTGGTGTTCAAGTAAGTATGCGCGATACATGAACAGTCGTTTGAATGTCACTTTTTTTACCGTTATGTGCTCAGGGCATCTTTCCCACGCTGCTTTTTCACGGTTGAAAAGTGTAGAATGGGCGCATACCTTCGCCTTTTGTCTTTTAGCGCTTCCTTTGTGTTTTTCCGGGTTTGTGTTTAACACTTGGGGTTAATTGGCCAGCGGGATACCAACTGTTGAACTCCTAAATGGGGGCAGCGCATGCATGTGCAGCAGCTGGACGAAAGATTTAATCCAAATCGAATCGGTTCTCTCGAACAGTTCCGTTTCAAAGCTCGGGATCGATGTATTGACATCGCTTCGTGCTGTATTTTCAGCTCAGCGTTTAAAATAATAGTGGTATACGTTCTCCTCCCCACCATCGTTTATTGTCATGTCATGTTTCCAACTTGTTTGTTGCAGCCATGATTCGACACAGTCATCTAAAAGTAGAAGATGCATCTGTAATTTGCATTTACAATAAACATTGCTAAAATGTAACGGTTGAAATAAGATGTAAAAAAAGAGATATGGATTTAAACCAACAGTTTCGTGTGTTTTATCGAGTTTTGAACTTTTATTATGATCCGGTTCATGAAAAAGATTCGACTCAAAAGAATGATTTGCTGCAGCTCTGTGGGATTTTGTTGCAGTGGTTGGGAGGTTTTGCTGCTTCAGCAGGGCTCAGCGGGTTTAGGGATATGAATAAGCACTTCAGAACAGTTACAGTAGACCAGCCCATCTAAATTATCCCTCTGCTTTTCAAAATTAGAATGGATTTTAATTCAATTACAGGGCACTTCTTTCAAGATGTCTTTAGTCAGAGATTTTAGTTTGGCATGCAAGGCTCTTTTCCTAAACCAGGCAGTCGTCCAAAAACCACGAAATTCCTTTTATTTTTGAACTAGGGTGAAAGACTCTGTAAGTTAAGGCGGTTCAATCTCACACTTTTGTGTAACAGCAATCGTAATACCTTTCCAGCTTAAAGTTCTCAATCAGCATTGCTGTACATATTATTGCTCACACATTTTATTATTGAAGAAAGTAAGTAAACTAACAGGCATGTTACATAACTGACAAATGTGCTTGTTTTTTTTTTTTTCTTCAGGTGAACGCTAATGGATTGAGCTGCACTGACCAGATGTCTCGCTCCATTCAATGGGCAGATGCCGTAGTTATGGTGTATTCCGTAACCGACTGCCGAAGCTTTGATCTCATTGGCCAGCTCCACCAGCTTGTTGTCCGCACCCATACGGATAGGTCCTTGCCAATCATCCTAGTGGCCAATAAAGCTGATCTTCTCCATGTGAGGCGTGTGGATGCTCAAGAAGGTCCCCTGCTGGCTTCAGCGCTGAGCTGCTCCTTCTACGAGGTGTCCGCCAGCGAGGACTACAGCCAGGTCCACGGTGCCTTCCATAGACTGTGTGTGGATCTGGCCAAGCAGCAGCCTCAGACCCCCATCAATGCAGCTTCATCTGGAACCGAGAAGAAAAGATCTCCCCTCATTCCCCGGCCCAAATCCCCCAACATGCAAGACCTGAAGAGGCGCTTCAAACAGGTGCTGTCGGCCAAGGTCCGGACCGTCACTTCAGTGTGAAGAGGGTTTGAATACCAGCAGGATAAAGGGCACAATTAAGAGAGAAAATGCTCTAAGGAGAAGAGATGATCTTGAGAGCAGCAATGCTGAATGTATAGATCTCGCTCCTTTGACGTTCTTGAGATCCGCTGATGATCAGCAGACCGGTTCCAAACAGAGGGCCCCTTGACCTGATTGTGTCATGGTCGCTGAAAAAACAAAAGGAAAAAAACAAGCAGAGTCTGGTGAACACTTACATTCTCACATGACCATCTCAGTGCTGGTGGACACTTGTGTTGCGGTCACTTAGTGGACACAGCAGGATTCTGGGAGACGTGGTCGTAGCGCCTTAAAGAGGGACAGTGCAAAGACTGAACAACTGAATGGAACAGATGGAGACTCATAGAAACACTATTGACATTGCCTTACCTGTGAACCTTTAAAACACAATTCTCTTGGTAACAGAGATGGTGAAGGCTGCAAAACAGACTATTTTAAGAATTGCTTTTCTGAAAGGCATGGGAGAGAGGGAGTTTTTTTTGTTCCTCCTTGTGGTCAAGGCTTTTACGGGCTGAATGCAGGCATTGTTAAAGGACAAGGCACTCAAGCTAAGCATATAAAGAAAGAGAGAGAGTGTGTGTGTATCTCTTACAGCCTGCTCTTGTGTACAAGGCCAGAATGTTTCTCCTGGTTTTATGTAAAACTGCTTTGTGCCACTTTTTTTACAGTGGAGTAGAAGATTTTTTTTTTTTTTTCTGTTTAAATGCACTTTAAAAAAAGCCAAAGGGCTGAAGCTCAGAGTTATTTATTTATGTTATTTGATTGTGATTGGAAATAAAGAGTTGTTTTTAATAAAATCGTTGTTTCTGAATTTAAGCACACTCATTCATCCTGTTTAAACTGTGATTGGACACACAATGACATTCTATAAATTCATTTAAATGAATTTTCTTCAATGGAGCCTTGAGATATAAGGCCATTACAAGGTCTATATTATCAGTCTATGATATTACGCTTTAAAATGTAACAACCCCTTTCATATTATATACACTTCCATTTTTTTTTTTAACAAAGTGATAATTGCCTTGATACACTAAATTGATCAAAAGTGACAAGATTTCCATTTCAAATAAATGCTGTTCTTTTGAACTTTCAATTCATTAAAGAATCCTGAAATTTTTTTACAAAGTATGCAGCAAAACAGTTTTAAGATAAAATAAAAGTCTTGGTAAGTATAAGAGCCTTCCTTAAAAACATTTTATTTTAAAATTTATTTTTTTATTTTTAATGCTGAAGTTTTCTAAATGGTAAAAGTGAAACTACCAAGACCCTAAATAAACTTAAAAAAAAAAATCTAAGCTATGCACGTTGAAGAGAATGGGATAAAGGTGTAAAAAATGACTGATAACTTTCAAGTATTTTTAGCATCTTTGTAAGACACCCGCTAGGGTAATAGTTTTTAGCATATGCGAAACACAAACTCAAATCTCCTGAGAGAAACGCACGTAGAAGCATGGAGATTACAACGTTTGTGTCTACTTAGCTAAACTTTTGGAAAAATATATTTTTCCAATTGTTTATGTAGTTTATGGGGACTCTATAGGCGTAACGATTTTTATACTGTACAAACTATATATTTTGTCCCATTACATTAACACTATTCTTAACCCACCCATCACAGAAAACTTTAGCTATTTTTTTTTAAATTTTATAAAAACAACATAGTATGTCTATAGTATGCCACTTTATAGACAGCTAAGTAAAGTGTTAAGTGTGAGAAAGTGAAGGAAGAATAGAGAGAGCTTCTCTAATAGATATCCCCACCCTTTTTGACCTGTGCCCTCTCCCCATCTGTCACTTTTCCAACAGCGCTGACGTGAATGAAGGATGAAGAGGGAAGATCCTGTGAGAATCAACACATGGCTGATTGTAAGGACTGAACAGAAGAATGTGTTGTATCTGGCAATGGCACAACAAAAAATGTGTGAAAACTAAATACACGTTGTGTGAAAAAACAACAACAACATTTTTGTAGACATGAGCAAAAGGCAATCCATTAAGCCTTTATTTAAGGGAAATCATTTTTTTTCTTTCTTGGGGCGTCATTGGTCATAAAACAAAATGTGAAAATATTGGAATAGTTTTTTTGTTTGTTTCATTAAACGGAACAGTCTGTTCTGTATATGCATTAAACGTGTGTGTGTTCAGTCCCTTCACACTCCAATGTCAGGTTTGAGCCTGTCAGTGCTGAAGAGTAAGTGAGGGACATCGGAAGGTCTCAGTAGCCTAGTAGACATTACGAATACCTGAGAAAAGACAAAAGAAATAGATTAGACAGTTACCCTAAATCATTCTAACCCTCAACTTTCAAAAGAGCAAAATTTATAAAAATGACTCTTCCGTGTTGCATGATTATTCTGAAATCATTCTAATATGCATTCTAATTTGGTGCTCAAGAAATATTTCTTCTTATGATCAGTGTTGAAAACAGTTGTGCTGCTTACTATTTTTGTGGAAACCATAATATATTTTGTTTTTCAGGATTCTTTGATGACTAAAAAAGTTCAAAAGAAAACATTTATATTAGAAATATAAATGGTTTTTTTTTTACATTATAAAAGTATTTACTATCCCTCAGTGCATCTCTGCTGAATAAAATGATTAATTTATCAAAAAATGTACTGATTTTCTATATGTATGTACAGTATATATATATATATATATATATATATATATATATATATATCTGCAAAGTGGACCAGACAAGATGCAACAATCAAAAGTCTGGCTCTGCAAGATTATTAGCTAGCATGTTATTAACCAGGTCTTGAAGATGAATAGAGCAGCGCATAACTGCACCTGCTGACGCATGTGCTGAGGTAAGTACATGCTTTGTATTATGGTGAAAGATGAAGGTGATTTAGCTCGTCTTGAGACCTTCATTTAGAAAATCACTTCAAAAGGGCTTTACAGAATGCTTGGTCCTTGTCACTCCAATGGGCATCTGGTTAAGTTTGGTGCAACTTCATTTAGTAGACGACACCCTAAATTCCAATCTGTGTGTCTGTCTCACACTAGCGCAGCTGTGGGCCTGGGTCAGGCTATGTGTGGGCTGTCTGTTCTATAAGGGTCCACTCTCTGCTTTCATTATGTTTGATTTATTCATGACATGACACTTCGATCAACAAAACTCCTTTCATTCTGATTCGACCCAGTTACATCTCTATTCACTCACGAGTGCAGATACACACACACTCCAATCAATTCTAAATAAATGATACAGAAAAAGAGATGCAGAGAGAGACGGTGAAAAAACAGGAGGAGAAAGAGAGATGTGGGATCCTTTAAATGTGCCCAACGAATACAAGAGAGATGAGGAACAGACAAAGAATACATTAAAGACATAAACACAATGGTATACCTCATGATTTTTTCATTTCATATTGCCAATTGTTGATTTATAGGTATTATTTCAAAAACAAAAACAACAACAACAACACTGGAAACATGTTAACCAGGTCTGAGAAAGTATGACAAGGTCATATTTCATTTACAATAC